TTCCTGCCGCTCGTGTGGAAACTGCCTGTTTATTTAAAACCCCCCCAAAAAAAAAGGCTATGAAGTGGATTTTCAGAAAGGGTGAATGGCTGCTGTGATTCATCTTTTCTGTTCAAGAGTGGAAAAGCAGAGGGTGGGGTGGGGGGAATAATCACTGACACATCAAAGGCCCCGTTTCAGCTTCAGAGACACACGCGAGGAATTAGTCACTGCGTTTTAGTGCAACAAAACCCTTTTTCCTCCCTAAACCCAGCAGCTTCTCTCCCTGTGATGGCCAACTCGCTGCAGCCCTTGGGCATCCCATTTGGGTTTTTACATCCTTTGCATGTCATCCAGCATGAGAGGTTTGGGGTTACGGTGCAGGTGAAACCGTTCTGCTGTTGGATGAGCTCTCCTCTGCCGTGGATCACGGCTCCGGGGAGAGGCTGGCAGTCCACAAACAGGATTTAAAAGGAGCTGGGAGGGGGAGAGGGAATGGCAGGTTTGTCTTCCAGGGTGGCTGAGCCATGCTGATGGCTCACTGCCACCAAAAAGAATTTAAAAAAATGACCTTTTTCCCCTTTCTTTCTGCTCGTGCTTGTTCTCGCCCTACTGCGAGCGGCTTCAAAGAGCCAACCTTGCTCCCGGTTCTGCCCTGTCCCCTGCCAGAAAAAAAAAAAAAGGAGAAAACAGAACATTATCCTTATTTTTCACTGCAGTTGGGGCCAGGACAAGGCAGTTGGGTGGTCATGGTTGACCCACCACATTTCAGCATCCTGCTGGCGATGACAACAGGGATTTCTGGGGTCCCAGAAAGCCGAACAGAATTCGGGTTGCGTCTCCTCATGGCACACAGAAAAAGATTGCCTCATTTTCCAGGAATTAGGAATATGTCAGAGGTGGGGGGTAAATCCTGCCTTTGATTGTGCACGGCTGTATCCGGGTTGGATCTGGGCAGTTTCTGCAGCCATAAATCCTAATTCTTTGCATTCTGGAAGCACGGCGAGGTGATCCTGCAGCCTGACCTCCCCCGGAGCACCGGCACACACGCATTTCGAAGCCACTTACTACTTTATGAAGAGATTATTTCCTTTATTTTTTCCCCCCTCCAGCATCAATCATCTTGACAAAATCTGCTTATTTTAAAACACACATCCTGCAGCCTAAAATCCAACCTTTCCTATAAGGAGCATCACAAGGAGTTTATGGAAGAGCGCAGTCCACGTACGTTATATTAATATCTATATATATATCTATATATATCTATATATATCTATATATATATATATATATATATGTGACATTCTAGGCACACCAGTAGCAAACTGCTGAGGTTTCTAACCCGGATTTTTTGGAAAAGAAGGTTTCAAGTGAAGAGGCAGTGCTGAGCATCCCAAAGCTCCGGAGCAGCGGTGCCGAAAGCGGCTCCTTTCTCCTGGGCAGAGCCGGCGCCGTGACGTCAGGGTGTTTTTCTGCAGAGCTCGCAGGATGTTGCAGCCGGCCAAGAGCTGTGTTTATGTTGATAACATTACAAGTATTTCCTCTCCGTTTCCGAAACCAGCAGGGAGGGAGCCGAGGGGGAAGGGAGGCTCGGGTTTCTCTCCGGCTTTAGGGGTAGGACTCTGGAGGCCTTTTATGTTAAGGAGCGGGTAACGAGCGAACCGCTGGCGTTTGTGGATGCTGCGTTTGGGAATAGGGAGTGTTGAATAGCAGGGGTTGGGAGCTGGGAGCGGGGCTGGCACAGCCCTCCCCTCTCCCTGCTCCGGATCCGGTTTTAAGGTGACAAAGCAGCTCTGGCAGCTGATTGCCGGTCACAGGAGCAGCTCCCAGGGTTTTTGGGGGATGCTCCCAGCGTCCTGTTTCTTTTGATGTCCACAGTAGTAAAGCCGTGAAAACTCGGGATCCACACGGACGGCCTGCATCCAGCTTTCTTCAGGAAAGCAGGGCAAGGCTCGGGGAAACCCAGTGTTATCTCCCCTTTCCTGCCCCTGCAATCCACTCATGGATCAATGAACCTATTGAACATAGTATCCAGGGGGATTTAAAGGCAGGATCTGCCTGCCCACAGATGTAATCCCAGGAAGGAGAAGCCCTCTTCGATGGTGGACTCAGTGAGCTTAAAGGTCTTTTCCAGCCTAAATGATTCCATGATCATCCCACCATCCCAAAGGGCTTTTGCATCTCCTGTAGCTTTCATCCATGTAGCGTTCATGGTCATGGAAATAAGCCCAAGATCTTTTTTGTGGGTTACTTCCCTGTAACAGAGGGCAGAAAGAAGTGGAAAATCACAGCTTCTCCTGCTTTCCTCCCATCCTGCATGTCCTGCCTTGGTACCAAGGGAAAATGTGAGGATGTGGTGAAGGTCTGGCATAGGTTGCCCGGAATTAGAATGGAAATGGGATGAACAGGATCCCAAATGAATGAGGATCCTTAAAGAATGGGATCCCAAATGAATGAGGATCACGAGTGAATGGGGGGGATCCTAAATTAATGAGATGTCAAATGAATGGGATTCCAAATGAACAGGATTACAAGTGAATGGGAATCCCAAATGAATGGGTCTGAAATGATTGGGGATCCCAAGTGAGTGGGATCCCAAATGAACAGGCTCACAAATGAATGGGAATCCCAAATGATTGGGGATCCCAAGTGAATGGGATCCCAAGTGAATGGGATCCCAAAGGAATGGGGATCCTAAAGGAATGGGGATCCTAAATGAAGGGGAACTCTTGTTTTGAGAAACAAGTTGTGGGAAGAGAAAGGAGCCACATCTGCCTACACAAATGGCATTTCTGTACAAATATTCATCAAAACATGGCAAATGGTCACTGTTTTCCCTGGTGGTGCTTGCACAAGGACCCAGTCTTTCCCTTGCCGTTGTTTTCTTGCTGTGGCAGGGATGGGTTCCCAGCAAGGGAAGTGGTTGCAATGATGAGACCTTGGTGCTTTCACCAGCCCTTGTGAGGTTTTCAGAGCATCTCAGAGCCATCATTTATGTTCTCTGGAAATTCAATGTGGGCTTAACTTCCTCCTGCCTTTGCACACATAGAATCATGGAATGGTTTGGACTGGAAGGGACCTTAAAGATCATCCAGTTCCACCCCTCTGCCATGGGCAGGGACACCTTCCACTAGCCCAGGTTGCTCCAAGCTCCATCCAACCTGGCCTTGGACATTTCCAGGGATGGGACAGCAACAGCTTTTCTGGGCAACCTGTGCCAGGGCCTCTCTCACTTTCACAGGGAACAATCTCTTCATTAAAAACATCAGAGTTTCTCTCCAGGGCCAAACCAGTTTATACCAAGCACATCTCAGACCCTGGCAGGCAGCTGACCGAGCTAAGTGGGGTGTGTTAATCACCAGCAGTGGGACATGGCATCAAACCATCAAACTACTGGTTGTGGGTTTTCCCAACATCCCACAGCTCGGGGAGGCACTGCAGGGCCAGTCCTGCTCCCAGCAGTGACAGGAGGACTGAATCAGTTCAAATTCATGCAGACAGAGATTTTAACCAGTGATGAAACCCTCTGGAAAGCCAGCTGCTCACACCAGTGGGACCCTTGGAGAAAGCCCTGCCCTGCTTGCAGCAGCAGGGCTGGCCATGGAGGGAGCACAAGGAAAGCTCTTATCTCCAGAGCTTGGTTTCCTTCTGGTTCAGGGTTTGTCTGACCTTTTGGTCACTGAGTAAGGTCGATTTTTGCCAGGTTTTCTTTCGGAGGGGGAGGAAAAACATGTTAAGTGGGTGGTGCTGGTGGGACGATACTCCCGGGTGGGGTGGGAGGATCTTGTGTTTCTGATACCATTTCCAGCGCGTGGATGACTTCAGTGTTGTCCTTTTGCCCGGAGTTTGGGATGGGTCTGGATGGAGCAGATTTAAATAAATAGAGCAAGCACAAACACCACGAGATGTATTGGAGGGGGAGGGTTAGACCATGCATCGGGAATAAAACCCTTCCCTGGCAGCCTGTCAAGCTGACTTGGCAGCGAGATCTCGCAACCTTCTCCCAGGAGATCCTGGAGATGCAACTGGACACATGACAAAAGGCTGAAGGACGGGAGAGCCGAGCGGCAGCTGCTGGCCCGTGGCACGTACCAGAGCTGTCTCTGAGCCCTCTCCAGGCTCGGAGCAGAGGCAAGATGTTGGCCCATCCTTGGGAGGCCCCAGGGCCGTGTGCTGGTCTGGGGCTTGGCAGCTCTGGGCTCTGCTCTGGCCAGCACGGTGACGTCTCACATCTCCCCGTCGCTTGCCTGAGCCTCTGGATCCGTAGGTGTTTGGGAGGAGATAACCATAACCCATATCTCAGGAGCTTTCTGAGGTCCCCAGGGGGAAGAAATGACCATAAAAACCTTGTATTTTAAAGGGTTTTACTGATGTCATCGTCCTGTAATTTAGCTGGACGTTTCCTGGGAAGGACCTACAGTACGAGTGTGTGGCTCATCATCCTGGATTGTTTGTGGGGTTTTTTTCATCTGCATGGGCAGGGAGTCCTACAGGGTTTGAATGGAGCTGAGAGTGGCCTTGTGCAGGTGCTCTGACCCTGCCCAGGAACATGCAGGGTGTCAGTGAGCCAGGGGCAATCAGGGGCACTGACCTCTCCTTCATCCCTGCCTCCAGTTCTGGGGCATTTGGGATCAAGGCTCTTTGCCACAGTCTTCACATATATTGGGTTTGAGTTTGCTGTAAGTACAGTCATTTGCAGACCATTAAATTTATTAATTTTCTTTAAGACCAGATCCTTGTCCTTAGTGCTCAGCTTGTTCCTCTCGTGCTCTCCCACAGTTCACCCATTCCCTGCTTCATCCCTGGTAACCTTTGCTGCTCCACCAGACTGGGGTCTCTCCCCCTGGTGACTTATGAACATACCCACAAATCCTTCCCATCCACACCCTGCAGGGACTCAAGCCACATCTTCACTCCTCCCTTCCAGCTCTACAAGATGCCCAGCAGCGTCTCCACTCTGAATTACTTGGGGATGATGTTTCATGAGGGTTTGAGTAACTGTTCTCTGCTTTCTCCTCCAGGTCAACATGGATTTGTGGTTCTTTCTCCTCTTGCTCGGAAGTGGCCTGATAAGTGTAGGTGCTACCAACGTCACAACAGGTAAACTGTGCTCCTGTCTCTTCTCTTTTATCCCATCTTTAGGAGCAAAGGAGTAAGAACTCATGTGCTCAGTGTCTTACTCCTCCTGCCCCCCATGGAACTGTAACTGTGAAGTGTTGGAAAGAGGGTGATGGGCTGCGGGTCCTCACGAATGGGACCCACAGGTTTTACCTCTGGCAAATACTGATCCTCACTTCCAGGGGCTCTGATTTTTGTGCCTCCTTGATACCATAATACCTGTTCAAGGTGCTTGCTCTTATAAGTTTACATCTGCTGTGCAGAGCATTCCCTGTCCTGCCCTCGGGATTTGTCGGTTGTTTTATCCCTGTAGTTACAGTCACAAGGATCTCCAGCGTCTAAACCCTCCACTGTCACAGGAAAGAATCTCATGGAGATTCCCTTGTGCTTTTTCTCTCTCAGGGCCACCCACAACAGTGCCCACCTCCCCCAGGAGCCCCACCAAAGCTCCTACAGCAGGTCCTGAGGATGGGACTACGACGAGCTCCAACAGGCTCAACATGAGCACTCCAGGGACTGTTCCTACCGTGGCATCAAAGCCACTTCCAACCACAGCTGCCAGGATCTCCCCAAACACCACCACTGGCAGCCTCAACACCTCCTCCACCCTGGGGACCACCGTGCCTGTGCCTCCAGCCACCTCCCTGCTCCCCAGCGTGACTCCCTCTGCCCCACACTCCGCCGTCCCCAGCACAGAAGCGGAGACGACGGAGAGGAATTCCAGTATGGTGGTGACAACACAGGAGACCTCTTCTGCCTCCCACAACGGTAGGCCACCTCCTCCACCTCTACGTCTCCAGGCCACCCCGCCCCTGGGTTTGAGTCTTTGCTCTTCTTTTGTTTCGCTGAACAAACTGGAGCGAGAAGACACTTTTCCGAACATCCCAGATCAGAAGAGGTTTATCCTGCCAAGGGTTTGGGCTAAGATCATCTAGTGAAAGGTGTCCCTGCCTGTGACAGTGGGGTGGCAGGCTCTGAGTTGCAACACTAGGATAGCAGTGCCTGCTAGACCTTATAGCAAAAGCCTTGGCAGTGTGGGATGTAGTGGAAAAACAGGATTGGTAACTCGGTGGTGTGGTAGAAAACACTCAAAGAAGATAATGGTGGAGTTAATGCAGGGAGGTGTCAAGTGCCTATTCCTTAAGAAAATATTTCTCAAGAAATATTGGACATCTCAGCACATCAACAGTGAGATAGATGTGTGTGCCCTCTTCCTCTGGGAATATTTGGAAAGATTCCACAGCCCACGAAGCTGCAGTGAGGTTGTCTTTGCTGCTGACATAGGAAGGGATTTGGCTGAAGGATGTTCACAACCCAGCTTTCTCAGTGTTCTGCCATCCCTGACCTCATCCAGCTCCCTTCCAAGCACAAATCCTTTTTTTCAGAGTGAAGGGGTCCAGCATAACCTTAGGTACACACGTGGGGCAAGCTTGGAATAAATGTAGCCTTCAAACTGAGAGATGGAGGCAAAAGCCTTAAGTACTTCAAGTATATGGGTTTTGTAATACAATGTCTGCTAATGGGGGTACAGAATTTATCATTTTTGTGTCTTTACTACCTCTTTTGTGACTTGGGTTACTGGTTTTGGTGAACTCCCTTGGTGTGTGCCATGACACGTTGGCCATTGAGCCATCAAGGCCAGAAGTGGCTTCTCACTTGGTGTCAGTCCCCAGAACAAGTGACCAAACCTGCTTCTTTCTTTATTTCAAGCAATTTGTCAAGGAGCAAAATCAGTTTTAGGGCTGCCCTTGCCATTAGTCTTAACAGGGAATGTGGGTATTGGTCTTGGAAGAATTAAGTGGTGCTGAAGAGAGGGACTGGGACAGAAGGTGACACATGAACCATGTGGTGTACAGGCAGTTCCTGCTCCTCCAACCCACCAGGATTGTCCTCAGCCCTGTGCTGCAGCTCTTCACGTGTAGATTAGGGCCACAGGGTACCTCAGGAGAGCTGAGCTGTGCTCCCACTGGCAAAGGTTTGTTCTGGTGTCCTCTGGATGAGACATCCCAGCAGGGAGACGCTTTCCTTGGAAGCTCCTCACCCCCATCCCTGAGCCCAGCTGCTCTTAATTGAACTCTTGGCTCAGCCACTCTCTTAAAATTATGCAGGAGTGTTACCTCTTAACATTTAAGTGCTAATGAATTACACCAGTGACTTGCTGGTTATGGGCTTAAACAGTCCATGGTATCGATTAAGAGCAGTAATTGTGTTTATCGATGTTAAAGCTCAGCTGCAGCTCCCTGCTCTGCTGATAAAAACCTGGGATTTGTTCCTTTTTCCTTGCTCAGAAATTCATTTAACACCCTGGCTTTGTAGCTGGTGTTTTAGAGGAGAGATTTACAAGCAGATGATGAGAGTTACTAAATTTGTTCCCGTCTTGGTCTTTGATCCTTCATGACTTATTAAAATGTCTTATTTCTTTGTTGCTAAGAGACTTCTGTTTTCTTTTCCTGCAGGTAACTCTGACAGAAGAGGTAAGAATTTTATATTTCATCACTCTTTATTCAGTAAAAACATTTCCAGAAGTGTTCTGCTATTAGAGACCTCTCCTTAGGACTTCCAAATGTTCTTTTACGAAGCCCCTCAAGCTCTTTAAAAGAGCTGGTGACACACTGATATCCTAATTTCTTTTGGGCTTTTCTAAACAATCCCATTCCAATTTGTACATGTCCTGTTAGACACAAATTGTTCCTGCTGAGTGCTCTGAAAATGTCAGCACGTCCCTGGAGTTGGATGACCGAAGCCTAAGAAGCCATTCAGGAAATTTCCTTTTGGGTTTGTTTTTTTTTTTTTGCTTCTGAATTGTCTTTATTGACTGTGACTTACCCTATTTGATCCAAACCCCTTCTGCAGATGATGAGAATAATTATTATTCCCCTTCGTTCTGTTGGCAAGCAGCAGCACAAATCCATTTCTCGTAACAGAGCAGCACTTAGGGACATTTTTCCATCTCTCAGCTCTGAGAACTGGCATCTCCACCACAATATTTGCAATTAGTCATGGCTTTAGCACTCCAGGAGCGGGCAGAGCAGAGGTGCAGCAGGGCTGGCTGCTTCCTATAGGAATGAGCTGCCTCCGTGTGTTTTCATCATGGCTCTGATGGGTGTTTTAGCTTTGTGAACTCCCTGGCATTCCTGTTGTGATGCTCTCTGTGCCAGGCTCACCCCATCCTGCTGATGGTCCAGAGGAACAGGCAGATGCTCTGCAGCAGTTACTGTCAGAACACATTTAGCAGAGGAAATAAAAGGGATGCAGGTCCGAGAGAATTCATTTAAAATGATGGTTAAGCTGCTGCAGAAAGGCTCAGTGTAATTCCCTTGGATCTGGCAGGGTTTAGGTCTGATTTTGTGCTCTCTCTGTTGTTGTTCATCCCTGTTCCTGAGAGCAAAGAAACAAACAGAAAAAAAAGGGAATAAATCTGACTTCCTAACAACATTTATATTAATATTGCTAATATGAAGAAGGGACTTTTTAGAAGAGCATGGAGAGACAGAACAAGGAGGAATGGCTTCAAACTGCCAGAAATCAGGGTCAGATGGGATATTGGGAAGCAATTGTTGGCTGTGAGGGTGGGGAGGCCCTGGCACAGGTTGCCCAGAGAAGCTGTGGCTGCCCCTGGATCCCTGGAAGTGTCCAAGGCCAGGTTGGACAGGGCTTGGAGCAACTTGGGCTAGTGGAAGGTGTCCCTGCCCATGATGAGCTTTAAGGTCCCTTCCAGTCCAAACCATTCCATGATTCTCTGATTTTTTGGGCAGATGTTGGCAGGGACAGGCTGCTCATCCCTGGCCCTCTCTGGTGTGCGGCCGGGGTCTGTGGGACGTTTAGGGAACAGCCTATAGAGCACATCTGCCTATAGAGCCTATAGAGCACATCAGCCTCCAGCTGGAACGTGATCTCCAGCACCAGAAGATGCTTTACTGCCTCCTCAGAGATGCCAGAACAAGATTTAAGCATCCTGATGCCTTCCAGGCTTCCAGCACTGCAGGTCTGTGGAAGCAGAGGGTTGAGTCCTTGTCCCTTTTCCAAGAGAACTGCCAGCGTGAAACCCCCGGGGCCGAGGCTGGAGCAGGACAGGAGCTGTGGGAGGGTTGGCACTTCTCCCCAGGGCTGGCTGGGGAAGGAGGGAGCAGCTGGGGACCCTCCAGGTTGTTTCCTGACTGGGCTGTGCTGGGTGGGCCTGGCAGCTCTCCGGCTCTTGGAGACCGCGGTGGGAAAACTCCAACTCATCCCGTCCCTCCAGATGTGTCGAAAAAACGGCTGCAAATCAAACCCCCAACCCTGCAGACTCCCTGCATCCTGTGCCAGAGCCACCCCTGCCCATAAATCACCTCTCCTGCCAACCAGCACTGCCACAGCAACCCCGGCTTAGCGCTGGTTAGGCTGAGCTTAACTCCAGCCAAGGCAGGAAAAGTGGTCTAACGGTGTGTAGTGTGGGCATAACACCACAGGATTTGGGAAGGCAGCTCTCCTTCCACTCCTGCAGCCAGGATGGAGGTGATGGTTGTGGTCGGAAGCCTCAAAGAGGAGCTCGTTATGGGAGAGGCCGGGACTGGCTGTGGTTGGGCCAAGACCCTCCGTGGTTGCTTTGCCTTCCTGGTCTTGCTTTTGGGAAGCCTCGAGGTGAGGAATGCCAAGGCTAAAGAACCTATTAAGTTTGCAGGAGGCAGAATTCCCAATAAATTCCTTGACTTTTTGCAGCTGGGCTGGGGGAGTTGCACTAGGGCAGCAGATGGAAAGAATAAAGACATGCAAAACCAGGATAATTTAATTTTTTAATTTGCCATGCCAGGTCACTGCCTTCAAGTCATTACACAAAAATCAAATCTTTTGGTCGGAAGAACATTCCCAGGCCTCACACCACAGAGGGACAAATGCAGAAATACAACCAGAGCTCCCCTTGGTAGCTCAGAGATGGACAAAATAAATCCCCCCTAAAATAATCTGCTGGCTGAAATTGCTGAGAGACATGGAGCAGGAATCTGCCCTGGCAGGGAAATGGATGCACAGAAGGTGGAGAGGGGGGTCATGCCCTGCAGCCTTGGGGGGCAAGGCATGTAGATGTGGTGCAGTGGCCAATACAGATTGAGGGAGCTCATGGAAAAGGAAAATAACCCCAGCTGGCATCTCTGGCATCCACATCTATCTGCAAAAACTCCCTTCAGGGCCATTCTCCTCTCTGGTTGGCATTGCTTGGCTTTCAGCCCACCTGAGTGATTTGCTCCACTGTTCCACTGGCCTCCAGGACAAGTTACAAATGGCTCATTTTAAAAGAAAAAAAACCTGTTGTGGGTTCTGGAGGACGGGAATGTTTCAGACGTGGCTAATCCAAGTGTTTGTGCAAGGGAATTGTGTGGTGCCTTCCCCTGAGGAGCCAAATGAAATCCCACTCGGTGGCCTTGCAGTGCAGAGCACAGTGGGGTGTCTGACACCTCCTGCTCTCCTAACTCAGTATTTCCAGGGAGGAAGGAGTAAGGAGTTGAACTAGATGGCATTTGGAGGTCCCTTCTAACCCAGATTATTCTATGATAGTAGAATCATGGAATGGTTTGGATTGGAAGGGGTCTTAAAGACCATCCAGTTCCACCCCTGCCATGGGCAGGGACACCTTCCACTAGCCCAGGTTGCTTCAAGCCCCATCCAACCTGGCCTTGGACACTTCCAGGGATCCAGGGGCAGCTACAGCTTCTTTGGGCAGCCTAGTCCCCACCAAACCTCAGCCTGGAGGTGTTCAGGTCCCAGGTGCAGGGGGAGGCTTTGCCCTCTTGTCCTGTTTGACAGGGAACTGGAAGCAGAATCATAGTGGTTTCACAAATGCAGTGTCTGTGGGATCTTAAAAAGGCCAGAGTTTTCCCATGTGTTATTATAAAGTTCTTTATCGTGTTCTACCAAACTCATGGACCTGTTAGGATCTTCTATGGATCCTGAAGTCTCAGGCAGAAGACTCTGTGGATCCTCAGGGGACAGAGGAAGCTTCTACCGGTGGGTGCACATTCAGTTGTGCAAAAAAAAACCCTAAAACAGCCCAGTCCCGACTTCCTCAGTCACTGTTTTCATCTGCAAGGTCACAATTCCACAGTGACCAACTCTTGGAGAAGGCTGAGGTGCTCTGAGTGGTGGTTACAGGTGTTAATCTGACCTGGGAGCGCTCACTCAGGTCCTGTTTCTGCCTTTCATCTCAGACTGAAGAAACATAACATCACTTAATACTGTTTATTATTATTTTTATTGTCAGTATCATCATCGTAATTGTTTTTCAAGCACAAATTGTAGAAGTCAGCCCCGTTAAATGATGGCTCTGGGTGTTTTTCAATGTGCATAACCACACCTTTCATTTCCTCTTGCAGATGAGACTCCAATTATAGCTGTGATGGTGGCCCTGTCTTCCCTTCTAGTCATAGTATTTATTATTATTGTGCTGTACATGTTGAGGTAAGAGCTGCTTTAATGCTGAATCCCCTTTTTTTGACAGAAATAATTCCTGAATGAACAGGAATGAGCCTTTTGTGCTGTTTCCCAAGCTAAAGGCTGACACAGCTGGTGCTTTTGAAAAGAAACCTGTAAGGGCAGTGAATGAAAATTACGTTTGGGGTTATCTAGGCAATGCTGCTTATTCCTTTCTCTACAAAGCTGCTCCTCATGTGGGGAATTCTTGTTCTGCTACTCAAAATATCATATTTAGGGTAGATTAAAAGTCCTGTCAGCACAGGTAAAAGCAGATAAGGTTTCCTTGTGGGGCAAAGGGTGATGGATTGAGTAATCCAAGGAGGCTGAACACAACACTCAAGCCAGAGAGTCCTTTGCATGTGTTATTCCTTGATTCCCATCTTGATATCAAACAGTATCCAACATCCAGAGCCAAGCTCTGCCTTGGGTACCAAACCTACACATCACGTCTGTGTATCTTCCAGTGCAAGGTAGTGCGTGGCTGGAGCTTATGAGGGGTGTTATGTGGTGCTGTAATTGGAATTATGGCATAAAAAAGCCTTATTAGGTCCATTTTTAAAAATGCAAGCATCTGGCTTGCTGAAAATGCGGCATTCCCAGCTCCTGGGAGTTAGAAGAGGGTGTTTATTCACCTCCAGTAAACATTTTAATTTATTCACCAGTTTGGTGATTAAATAAGTCTGAAAAAGAAACCCAAAAAAACCCTGTTTCCTCAGCAGTGGAAAACTTCCCTTCGTCTCCTGGCTCCAGGCCTGCTCTCACAGCAGTGAACCTGAGGAGAGTTTTGCCTCAGGAGTTCAGCAGCAGCAGCAGCAGACTTTTGAGCCCTTCCCACCTGGCTTCCAGCCCTCAAGAAAAGGGTTTCTGTTCGCTGCTGCCTGCCCAGTGATTCAGCAAAACTCCTAATTCCAGGCAAAGGGAAAGGGAGCAGCTGCTCCAAGTTAAAAGCACATGGAGAAGGGCTTTGCTGCAGGACGGATCGACCTGGGGTTTGTGTGCTTTGCTGGATCAGCCCAGGGAGCAGGGACTCCTGCATCTCTCCTCCAGGGGGTGACCTGGGCTCTGACTGACGTGTCCCCTCCCTTCTCTTTGGTAGGTTCAAGAAATACAAGCAGGCAGGGAGTCACTCCAACTCCTTTCGGTTGTCCAACGGCCGGACGGATGATACAGGTGAGGCCCACGGTGGGGAGCAAAGATGCATCTCACAGAGGAATCAGCTTTGTTCAGAGAATCACAGAACCATTTGGGTTGGGCAAGACCACTGAGATCATCGAGTCCAGCTGTTCCCCCAGCACTGCCAAGGCCAGCACTGACCCCTGTCCCCAAGTGCCACATCCACACGGCTTTTAAATCCCTCCAGGGATGGGGACTCCAACACTGCCCTGAGCAGCTGTGCCAGGGCTGGACAACCCTTTCCATGGACAAATTTTCCCCAATATCAAACCTAAACCTCCCCTGGCACAACTTGAGGCCATTTCCTCTCCTCCTGTCCCTTGTTCCCGGGAAAAGAGACCGACCCCCAGCTGGCTACAACATCCTTCTTACAGGGGAGTTGCAGAGCCAGAAGGTCCCCCCTGAGCCTCCTTTTCTCCAGGCTGAGCCCCCCCAGCTCCCTCAGCCGCTCCTGCTGCTCCAGACCCTTCCCAGCGTCCCCTGCCCACAGTAGTGACACCACCTGGAGACTTGGGGGGCTTTGTTCTCCCAGCTCATATTTTTGTAGGCAAGTATTTTTTCATTTACATTTTCCTTTGGTCCCTGGTCTGATTTTTCTGTGTTTTCCATGATTTTGGCAAACTTTTATAGAATGAAGATTTATTTTGCACCTTTCATTCCAGTGACCAAACGTTTGCCCTCACGTGGTTGATGTTAAGATGGGATTCCAGCACCAAACTACTCACATGCCCTTGAGTTTTCACAGGATCTCTTTGACTCAAATGAGAACCTTTTTTGAAACAACACATCTTTGGGGAATAACTAAACATCCTTTTACCCTTTTAAATTAGGATGATGTCTGACTAAAACTCAGATCTTTGAACTGTAGACACCGAAGTAACATTTCCAGGAGTAAGCAGGGAATACTGGTTTTTCATTATAAATCCTTTTTGTTCCTCTTAAAGATGCAGAAATGCAGTTGTAAAGCCTTGTGCAGACCTGCTGTAATGTCTAAACTCTTCTGCCCCTGAGCTTTGAGCCAGAGCTGCCCATTGAGGGTCTGAAGTTGGGCATCTTCATTCACGTGTAGTCACCTAAGTAAGAGCTGAAGAGGATCCACCACCTCTTAAACTCAGTTCAGATGCTTTTCAGAGCTCCTTTCACATAAACCAAACACCTTCTGAGAAGCACTAATTGAATTTCAGCACCTTTTTTTTTTCCTGTTGGCTGCTAAAGGCCTTCCCTGCCCGTTTTCCATCACTGTAAACCGAGGTGTGAACTTCATAAACCCTCGGCTGTGTTGGTGTAACCCTCGTGTGGCCTTTCTTGGCTTTGCTGAGGAACACAAGCAATAGCTGCCTTTGCTGTGCCCTCCTGGGAATTGTGTCACTGTGATGGTGCCAGACTTGCCATGAGAGTGAGGGGGGAAGTTCACATTCAAAATGAGGTGGTCTCCACCCCCAGTACTGATGACTTGGTCCTCATTGCCCTGTCCTGCCTCTGTGACGGTGTAAAGCTTGATCCCAGGGTGTTCATTTTCAGAGGATCACAGAATCATTTAGGTTGGAAAAGTCCTCTGAGATCATCAAGTCCGACCCTTAACCCAGCACTGCCAAGGCCACCACTGACCCCTGTCCCCAGGTGCCACATCCACAGGGATGGGGACTCTACCACTGCCCTGGACAGCTGTGCCAGGGCTGGACAGCCCTTTCCAGGAAGAAATTTTCCCAATATCCAATCTAAACCTCCCCTGGCACAGCTTGAGGCCATTTCCTCTCCTCCTGTCCCTTGTTCCCTGGGAGCAGAGCCCGACCCCCCCCTGCTCCCCCCTCCTGTCAGGGAGTTGCAGAGCCAGAAGGTCCCCCCTGAGCCTCCTTTTCTCCAGGCTGAGCCCCCCCAGCTCCCTCAGCCACTCCTGCTGCTCCAGCCCCTTCCCAGCTCCGTTCCCTTCCCTGCACATGCTCCAGCCCCTCCATATCTCTCCTGTCTGAGGGTCCCAGAAGTGCCCCCAGGGCTGGAGGTGCCTCAGCAGTGCCAGCACAGGGACGGGCACTGCCCTGGGGCTGGGACACACCAGGGCTGGCACAGACCAGGGCCATTGGCCATCTTGCCCACCTGGACACACCTGGCTCACATTCAGCTAATGTTGCTGAGGTCCTTTTTCTCCAGGCAACTTTCCAGCAACTCTGCCCCCAGCCTGGAGCACTGCAGGGAGTTGTCAGACTTTGTGCACTGAACGTAGGAAGAGCAAAAGGCCTAGAAGTGTCCAAGGCCAGGTTGGACGGGGCTTGGAGCAACCTGGGCTAGTGGAAGGTGTCCCTGCCCTCGGCAGGGAGTGGGACTAGATGATCTTTAAAGTCCTTTCCACCCCCAAACCATTCTGTGGCTCTGTGAAAACACGAGAATAGCGAGGACACGAAGGGGCCCTAAAAGCGGACGGCCTGAGGTGTGCAGGGTCCCTGCGCCCACCTGGGTGTGGGTGACGAGTGCTGGGCATGGGGGGGCAGCTGGGAGGGCCCCTCTGACTCCTGGTGTCGTTGCAGAGCCCCAGAGCATGCCACTGCTCGCCCGCTCCCCCAGCACCAACCGCAAGTACCCCCCCCTGCCCGTGGACAAGCTGGAGGAGGAGATCAACCGGCGCATGGCAGACGACAACAAGCTCTTTCGGGAGGAGTTCAACGTGAGTGCCTTTGCTTCTTGCCCTTCAGTCCCACAGGCTGTCCAGGAGTTGGGCTTAGCATGCAGATGGTCAACCTCGTCCTGGTCCTCAGGGGTTTGTGTGCAAGGCCAGGTTGGATGGGCCTTGGAGCAACCTGGGCTGGTGGAAGGTGTCCCTGCCCATGGCAGGGCATGGAACTGGATAAGCATTAAGGTCCCTTCCAATCCAAACCATTCTATAATTCTAAGTAGTTCTTCTCACTGGTGACCAGTGACAGGATTGAGGGAATGGCTGAAGTTGTATCAAGAGAGGTTTAGGTTGGATCTCAGGAAAAGGTTCTTCCCCCAGAGGGTAGCTGGGCACTGAACAGGCTCTCCAGGGCAGTGGGCACAGCCCCAAGGCTGCCAGAGTTCAAGGAGCACTTGGACAATGCTCTCAGGGATTGTTGGGGAGTCTGGGCAGGGCCAGGAGTTGGACTGGATGATCCTTGTGGGTCCCTTTCAGCTCAGCATATTCTGTGAGGTGGGAGGACCAATTCTGTCCCTGAATCTGCAGTGAGGGTGGACAAACCACTCCCTTTCACACTCACTACAGAAAGCAGAGATTTTCTAGCAACCAGCACCACAGGGTTACCTTTTTTTAGGTTCAGGAATGGTCCTGGATGTCTTGGGGTCTTCCAGAGCTTACCTGCCTGCTGGTTACCTCCCAAGCTCTGCCTCTCTCCTCCCAATCCTCAAGGCTTAAATCCACAAAGAACCAAAACAAGAGCTCTGACAGAGAAACAGGAGTGACTCCATCTCGTTTCAATGAGCTGTTAACCCTGAAACAGAGTGATGACAATGTGTATGACAAAGCTTGGCCTTCAGCTCTGAGTAATAATTAAGATATTGTGCTTATCCCAGAGCATCTCTTCGGAGGTGGCTCCAACCTCTTCTTGACATTGCTGAGCTCTGAAGCTTCTTGTGATGATAAACCTGTTTCCACTTGGCATTACAGAAATGGAATCAAATAGAAAAGGAAAGAATAGAATAGAATAGAATCATTAAGGTTGGTGGGAAAGCCCTCTGAGATCAAGTCCAACCATTCCCCCAGCACTGCCAAGGCCACCACTGACCCATGTCCCCAAGTGCCACATCCACACGGCTTTTAAGTCCCTCCAGGGATGGGGACTCCACCACTGCCCTGGGCAGCTGTGCCAGGGCTGGACAACCCTTCCCATGAAGAAATTTTTCCAATATTCAGCTAAACCTCCTCTGGCACAACTTGAGACTGTTCCCTCTCCTCCTGTCCCTCGTTCCCTGGGAGCAGAGCCAGAAGGTCCCCCCTGAGCCTCCTTTTCTCCAGGCTGAGCCCCCCAGCTCCCTCAGCCACTCCTGCTGCTCCAGACCCGGGTCAAAGGCATGATATGGCCCTATGAGGATGATGAGAAGGTCAAAAAAAAAGCCACTGGACTTTGTCCAGCTGCTGCACAACTTGATCCCCTTCCTGGCTGCGCTTCGATGAAACCAAATAGGTGCAGTGAGTGCCCAGGGAGGGAGATTTTTTGGTTTATAAATACCTGATGGCCCTGAAGATTTCCGTTCCCAGGCTGTCAGCTGGATGGTGAACACCTCCAGAATGTTCTCTCTTCTTTGCTGTTCAAAGAGCATGTGAAATAACAGTGCTGGGGAAGCACCTCCTGTGCTCGAGCATGAAACCCTGGGACAGTGTCACTTGTCACCCCAGCACCCCCAACCAAAGGTCCCTGGTGCTTTTGGATGAAGAATAACCCCCTGCATGGGTGTGCCTTCCCATCACTGGGTGGGCTCGAGCGATGGGGGCTTAATCAGGTCACAATTAGCAGCACTGTTAATGAGGCAATCTCAGCGGGAGCCTCCGCTGGCAGAAATGAGCTCCTCGGTGCTCGCTGGTGGGTTTGGAGCTCGAGGCTTTGCTGCCACCTCGTGTTCATGGATCCAGAGAGCCAGATCTCTCGTTTCCAAAGGGATTTGCTCTCTCTGGTCCAGCCCAGCTATTTAAATGGTCACTTTGAGCTCGGTGGGTAGGAGGAGCTGGTGCTGGAGTGGAGATGAGGGGTGGTGGGGACATATCCAGAGGGACAGGATGCTCAGATGTGGCATGTGCCAGCACGTTGTGGTTCTTGCTGTGCTGTGAGATCACGGAGAACCCTTTTTTTCTGCCATTTCAGGCTCTCCCAGCGTGTCCCATACAGGCCACGTGTGAAGCTGCTTCCAAGGAGGAGAACAAGGAGAAGAACAGATACGTGAACATTTTGCCCTGTAGGTATCGGAGCTGGTTGGGTGGGGGGAAACACATCCAGTGCTCCTCCTGTTCCTGGTTTTGGGATGGACAGGGGCATGGTTGAGGTCATTTCACCTCCCAGGTGGGTGGCTGTGTCTGCTTTAGCTTTCGGTACCTGAGAGGAGGAGCTCCATGGAGCCATCAGCAGGCAGGAGGCCGTGGAGAGTGAAGTGGATGGGAAATGCCCAAAGGGACAGCTCTTGCCTGGTGGCTTTGGGCAGTGGGCTGGCTCAGGGTGTCCTCAGGTGTGCACTCTGCAGAAGAAAAACTTCCTTTAGGCAAGGTCTAGCACCTCTCCAGGCTTGAGCAAGAAGAATTTGGGGGCACAAAGGTGTTTTTTCATGGGAGCCAGTGAGAGCAGCCACTGCTCTGACACGTGGCTTTCTCACTGTGCCAGGTACCAGCTGCATGGAGGAGGTTGTTTTTAATGCTGGGTTTTAATTTTCCTCCAGATGATCATTCCAGGGTTCACCTGACTCCTGTTGAAGGGGTTCCTGACTCTGACTACATCAACGCCTCCTTCATTAATGTGAGTTTTGGGATGTGAAGGGGAAAATCCCCACTGGCTCTGCCCTGGCCGGTGGTGCCTGGTCCCACCACCAAGCCCTTTGGAAAGGGCTTGGGAACTACTCCTGCAGCAGCTGGGGATTTGTGATTAGCAGCTGATGAATCATTTAGGTTGGAAAAGCCCTCTGAGGTCATCAAGTCCAACATTCTCTAGCATTGCCAAGGCCACCACTAACCCATGTCCCAAAATGCCACATCCACACAGCTTTTAAGTCCCTGAAAAGTGTGGCCAGTTACTTCCCAGTTTGCAGGGCTGGATGGGGGAAGGGGATGAAAAAGAAATCAAGGAATCCAGCTGAAATGGAAGCAACATTGCCCTGCTCTGCTCCAGGGAGGAGATGGGTCCTGTGTGGTTGTCACCGTGTGGCTCAAATCAGCTGGAAGGGTCACGTGAGAGACAGGGGCACATGAAGCAAAGCAAGACCCAAAAGAGCTTTTTCCTTTCCTTCCCAGTAAATAAAATACACAAAATCAATCCCCACGAGCTCAACAGCCTCCTCTCCCAGGGATTAGTGCTGATTTTCACACGATGCTCTGAATGCAGAGTCTGATCCTGGTGGAAGAGCTGTCAGGTACCACTTCATTAGTGCCTTGTGCCAATGAGTGGGGTCATTCCTGCATCATGTGAGTGTGGGGAGTGTTCCTTTGGGAAAACTGCCCATTGCACAGGGATTTTCCATTATTTCTGCCCCACTGTCAGTGCTGTTTCTCCCCTTGGAAGGCTGCAGCCCCTTCTCTGCACGTGGAGGAATGAGCAGCAGAGCATGTGCTGGTTCTGTTTGTTACTGATGTAGGTGAATTTTATGACTCTTGTGTTGGACAAATATTCATTTTTCTTCCTTTTTCTCTTTTTCTCTGCAGGGGTACCAAGAGAAAAACAAGTTCATTGCTGCACAAGGTAAATTCCTGGTTATTCCTCTAGCCCTGGTGGGTGGCAGCTGGGCTGGGATCCCTCTGCTCAGTGAAGCTGTGCCACTCTAACCACAGCACATCATCTTGCCAAGCTCCTCTGGTCAAAAGGAGGCTTGGCTGGTCCCACAGTTTGTTCCCAAAATGGTTTTCCCAGTCAAAGATCAGTGCTGGGTGTGCTGGGAGAGGAAGAGAAGTCTTAACCTGTGCCATACCCATTGCTGGAGAGTGTCAAAGCATTTCTGCCCTGAGCATTTCTGCCTTCCACCCCGGCCCACCATGCAGGTGGTGTGACCTCTGGAAATACTGCCAGGGAGCTGCTTAGTTCAATTCCCCAAATCATAGGATCATGGAATGGTTTGGGCTGGAAGGGGCTTTAAAGATCATCTCCTTCCAACCCCTGCCATGGGCAGGGACACCTCCCACTAGACCAGGTTGCTCCAAGCCCCATCCAGCCTGACCTTGAACAGTTCCAGGGATGGGGCAGAGAGAAATGTCCCTGTGGTCTTCAGAAGTCCAAACATATCCCTAAAACCAAGATTCCCACTCACAGGGAGGTTCCTGTCAACCTGCCCAGGGGAGTGATTTATATTTCTGCTCTTGACTGGCCAGTGGGTCAGAGCATTCATTACCAGCCAGTTTCCCTGGCTCTTCCTGGAGGGGAAAGGCTGGATCAGGTCCACCAGCACTTCCAGGCTCAGGTTAAGCTTTGGCTTTGCTGTTCCCTTGCCTCACCCTTAGCCTCAGGCTTGGCAAGGGAGTCCAGGCTGAGTTAGCTCCATGTCTGGCAGGCAGCAGGGAACTGTCCCTGTGCCACACTGAAATGGGATCCCATGGTTAAAGGCCAAGATCCCAGGGTGGGATTTCTGTGGACTCTGAGACGGCCACAATTTCCCTGGGTGACCTTGGGCAAGTCATTTCCATGTTCTGTTTGTCTGATTTCCCCTTCTCCAGCTAAAAATGGAATTCCTGCTTTTAAAACTTATCCAAAAATCCCATCTATCGTGTGATAGGATTATTCCTTGGGTCAGGCATGTCCAGACATCAAAGCACCTCCTGTGCTGGCATCTCTTGGCAAAAAATGTGATGGATCATCCACGCTGTGTGACCTCACACACTGGGTTTTGGTCCCAAATCATGGGGAGTTGATCCCAGAGACAACATTTCGTTTTGCCTTCCCCTCAGGACCAAAGGAAGAGACAGTGAACGATTTTTGGAGGATGATTTGGGAGCAAAACACAGCGACAATTGTCATGGTGACCAACCTGAAAGAGAGGAAAGAGGTGAGTGCCAGAGGGCTCTATGGGCTGGAATTTCGTGCCCGTGGGCATGTCCTGGAGACATTCCCAGGCTTGTGACGGTCCAGAGCTCACCTGCACCTGTTTTCTCTCCCCACAGTGTAAGTGTGCCCAGTACTGGCCGGATCAGGGCTGCTGGACATACGGGAACATCCGAGTGTCCGTGGAGGACGTGACTGTCCTGGTGGATTACACCGTGCGGAAGTTCTGCATCCAACAGGTGCCAGGGCTCATCTCCCATCCCATCCCACCCCTCCCCTCTCCACGCTGGGCATCCCAAAGGTGCTGCCATGCTCCTCCAAGGTGCTGTGAGATTAAGAGTTGGGGTGAAAAGATCCCCACCATTCACTTTTAACCAGAGTATTAAGAATTTATTCCTCTTAAACACCTGGGAGCCCATTCCCAGTGTGGCTGGTACTGAGAACAGGGAAAAGCTGATGGATGCCAAGGCTGAAATTCCATCCTGTAATACAAGTGTTGGTTCCTGCTCTCACCCACGGACACTTAATGCCTGCAAATAATCAGATTTATCCAAAGAGCCAAGACAAAATCCAGCTCTGTGTGCATTGGGTTTGATTGCTTTCCCATCTGTCACCACATTTCCTTGTCCTCCAAGGACACTCTGGGTGGTTTGGTCGCTCTGTTTGTTTTCCTGCCGTTCTCAGAGGCAGGCAAGGAAGAGCTGGTGCCTGAACACCTATCTGGACCCTGAGTGTGACTCTCCTGAGCCTCATCCTTCATTCCGGCAGTCTGGACACGGCTGGTTTCCTCCCCTGCCTTAAATACAAGGATCCTGTGGGCAAAGGAGTGGGAAAGGATGGAGCAACAGCTTCTGTCTGAGCTTGTTGGGAATGAAATGTGGCAGCTGCTGCCAGGTTGGAGCTGCAGCCAGGGCCAGGCTGGCATCTTGCACCCCTCAGATGTGGGATGTGGTGCTGGGTGATTAAAATGTCACATTTTCAGAGACTAATCTGTCCCAGAGCCTGGGTCGGAGACTGATCCCAGTCCTTTCAGCTGTGGACTCTGCTTCTCAAGCCATCCAGCTCCATCTCAGGGCTTTAACTTCCTGTCTGCCCTTGATTTTGGGGGAAGAAAGGGAACCCGGGGGTTTATCATTGACCTGGGTGTTACGACCCGCCCCAGGAAAAGGGGAGAGGAGGGTAACTCAGGTTTTTATCAATAATTCCCTTGGGGTGGATTAAAGTGAAACGACACTAAATAATC